AATTTTCAGTGGTACAGGAGTAGCAGATACTGGTACACGAGCCTAGAGTGCCCTCTAGCGGCTGTCAGTTTGAAAATAACAATATGTCACACCTGAGTAAAAGTAAGTCGCAAACTTAGCTAAAGGATAAAAAAAGTGCGACTTACAGGATTAGCAGATACGGGGGCACAAGCCTAGAGTGCCCTCTAGCGGCCGTCAGTGAGAAAAGTGTGAAAACAACAAACGTGAAATTATATATATATATATATATATATATATAAAGTCCCACCTGAGTACAAGTCGCAAATCCAGCCAAAGGATGGAAAAAATGCAACTCATAGTCCAGGAAATAGGTTAGCTTAGCTGAAAAGTTACAGATGACAAAATGGAAAAAAAAGGCCAAAAGTGAAAGATTTAGTTGTTTCATTTCATTCGTTTGATTATTAAGCCTCTGTACACATAATCGTTTGTTCGTTTCAGCTTTAAAGACGAGCAGCACAACAGGAGAGGAGAAGAAGCCTAGCGCTCCAAAGACATCTGCTGGTACAGAAAACAATTGACTTGTCACGTACATTATATACTGACTTATAATCATTTATTTTTTACATTTATGCTTCGAAAACTCTACCTTACAGCCAACACTTTAACAGGCCTACTGTAATAATTCACTTCCCTAGCTGACCCCATGAAGCCCAGAACCACCATGGCGAGTCGCACGGCCGGGGCCGCCAACGCCTCTCGCACTACGGCAGCCAAACCGGCTACGTCAACCTCCACCTCCGGCGCTGTCTCTGAAAAGAAACCTGCGGTTCCCCGTGTTCCGCGGGTTTCTACCTCAACAACAACAACAACAACGACCACAACCTCAAAGACCACGTCACGCCCCAGCACCGCACCAGGCCCTGACATCCGCAACGCTCGCTCCAAGATAGGCTCAACAGACAACATGAAACACCAACCTGGTGGAGGAAAGGTAGGTGGTTTCCGCTTTTAAAACTTAAACTGTAATATCTCTTTTGTTTCGTATAAAACAAAAGTTGTTTTTTTTTTCACACACGCGGTCCTTGACTTGCGTCCGAGGTCCGTTCCTAAAGTGCGACGTAACTCAATTTTTGCCTACAGTCGGAACTCGCATACTGCATATGAGTACCTGTGACACTCAACTACGTTAACACAGTGGTAACCAGTGTTGGGCATGTTACTTTTGAAAAGTAATTGGATACAGTTACCAGGTACATCTCAAATGTAACTGATTTAGTAACTGAATTACTATACTATAAAAGTACCTACTTAAGAGGGAAAGTAACTATTGTGTTACCTTAAAAATGAGTACTAAGAATTAGTATTTTTGTACTAGTATTTTCTCTATAACAAAAAAAACAACAACAATACGAACCACTTTTAACTCATAACTTTATCAAAAAAACGTGCCCAAAACATGGTGCCAAGTACAGACTTTGTGCTACAGGAATGTTGTATCTGAACATGTCAAAATATTACCAAAATTAAGCAAGGCTATAGGTCCAGGGTTCAAGTCCCTGTTCGGGCGGCTTGTTTTATTGAATGAAACATGAATATTTTGTGCTAAAAACTTTAAAAACCATCATATCTGAACATGTCAAAATATCACCAAAAACAAATCATCACAAAAAAAAAAGCAAATGCTTGAGCGATTCCCAAGTGGACCGTGCTCAATCCGCCAGACAGTGACGTTCCCCAACACACGGGTCCAGGTGTCCTAAAACAAAGAGATATTCCTCAAATCCCAAAATTTGAGGAATCGTCCCAGAAAGCTGTTCGGGCAATAACGTCAACAAACAGGGACGTGAAGCTGATGCTTTTCGACCTCCAGCAAGCAGCGTCGGCCAGTTTAGGCCAAGTTGGTGGACGTCCGAATTTTTGTTGACCTCTGTGGGGAAAAATGTATTGAATTCTTCTGTCGAGGTCGAAATTCTACGAGGTCCGAGGGTCCACTGTATAAGCGACGGAAACCAGCGCAAGCGAGGGACAAGCTGAAACAGAGAATGAATGATAACATATATTTAGATATATATTTATATATATATATGTATATATATATATATATATATATATCCTACTAGATCAAAAATATTTCTGCTTCATCTTTAATTTGTCGTCCTCTTTAACACCCAATTCCCTCTGCCTTTTCCTTTACATTTTTTGTTGTTATGGATCGTTGTTGTCTCCCCAGGTGTCATCTGCCTCTCAGAGCAGGGCTGTTGCTTCTAAAGAAACGAACCAGAGCAAAGTGAGTTCTCTCTCCACCTCCGAGCACCATCGCCACAATCTCCTTGCTCTACTACACTTCTTACTCCCTTTTTTTCCTTGTCTATGTACATTGTGTAATTTTTTCTGTCTTGTGATGTTAGTCTTTTTAGGTATTCATCTACTTCAAAGGGTCAATATGAATGAGCTAACATTTCAAACAACAGCTGAAAATGACTAGAATTCAAATGTATGAAGTGAGAGGTTTCTCGAAACGTTCTCATGTTAACAGTTCCATCGTTTGAATTGGTCACGAATTAGACAAATGTGAACACACATCTGCTAGCCGTTATTTGTCTTCCTCTCCGAACAATACACAGAAAAAAGTATTTATTCAGGACTGTGAATCCATCTTAAAAAATCCCGATTAATTATGTTTTTTACGATCGCAATCAAACATGATTATCCTGATTAATTCACAGCCGCTCTCTGATTCATGCAAAAGCCCTAATTCAAATATTCTTCTTTTTTTTTTAGTTAGCTGTGAAAAAGCTCAACAATTTTTTAGTTTTACAGCGTAGATAGGAAATGAAATCGTTCTGCTTCAATTCCTGCGGGGACGTAACTGGTGTTGACATTTTAAAAGTCTACAGTTTTTCCACTAAAGGAACTGTGGTTCACTCCTCCGCGACGCAGAGTGTCACGCGAGATGCTAAAAGGCCGATCCTTTTAGCATCTCGGGATGGCAAATGCATTGACACATTTATATCTCAGAACATCGTTCCGGCAAATGCATTGACACATTTATATCTCATGATGCCGCAAGAAGCAGTGATCTGCCGACCAATGATGTTCTCTCGATTGTCTCGTATAAAGTTGGGCAACTACATATTTGTGGATGTGCGTGTTGGGTTTTTATCAGCACCTTTGAAAGCCTAACCCTGTTGTTCTAAACCGTGTTCATTAGTCCTCACTGTGTGTCTTGATGCTTTGTCATCGTGATCTTGAAGTTGTCTCTAGGCCTGGGACGATAATCAAGAAATCAGTTGACCGCGCGATAAATGAAGATGAGGTCGATCATTTTGTCGGCCTTGATCAATTTCCAGGTGCGTGCGTAGTTTCTTTTTCGTTTTTTTTCTCATCTCTCGTCTCGAAACAACCTCAGTGACAAGTGGGTTCGCTCTGTGCCCTGGTCTCAGGACCAAGGAAAAAAAAAACGGCACAATGGCAGTTACGTCGCATGTACAGTATTTAACAAAGTACATACGAACAGAACAGCGTAAAATGGCGTACACTCACAGAAAGTGTGGTTCGCTACATCGCAAAAAAGCTTCACAACCTTGCAACCCCCGACAGTCCCGAAAGTGTGGTTCGCTACATCGCAAAAAGGCTTCACGACCTTGCAACCCCCGACAGTCCCTAGTTTTTTTTGTTTGTTTTTTTTTCAATTGGTGTCCATAATGGGAACGGGAATGCCCCTCCCATTTTCCGTCATAGGCAATGGAAGGGGCATTCAGGTACGTTGGAAATTTGAGAATCTCGAAAGAGATACCCATGAGGAATTAATGTGCATATATGCTTTATTACAAAATTACAGCCACGTTTGTTATTGTCCCAGGTCTTCGTCTCGGCGTTCTCACTACTCATGCGTGGATCAGAAAGTGTTTTAACACGACGTGTTTACTGTCGTGCGTGTGTTGCTTTAACGTTTGTGTCCCGTCTGCCTTTGGATATCTGGTCGAACCGCACCGCTTACACTTCAGACCACTTCAGACATGTGTGATTTCTCCAGGTGAACCTTGTTTCTAACCCTTCTTGTGACGGTGACCTTACCTCTCCTTTCTTTTTCCTCCTATCCTTGCTTCTATGTTGTCCTCCTCGACACACATCTCCTCCTCCTGTTCTGTCACTTCCTCTCTCTCACGCTGTCCCATCCGGCCCTGTCCTTCCTCCTCTTGCTGCTATGCTGTGTCCACATAGGTACAGATAGTCTCCCAAAAACTGGACTTCAGCCACGTCACCTCACGATTGGGGTCCAAGGAAAATATGAAGCACGTTCCTGGTGGAGGGAATGTAAGTACTGTCTGGTACCCAGGACCGGAGTCTTTATGATTTGGCCTTCAAAAAAAAAAGACATAAAGTAGACATTTTTCCACCAATAAGCTGAGCACGTAAATGTCAAATCTAAAAGCTGTTCATTTAAAGTCAGTGAGTTACTGGGCAGCATTTTAGCAAAACAGCTTCTCCTTCTCAGTCCTTCTTCTCCTCGAAACTCTGCGTGTGTGCGTGTTCCACCCTGTCACTAACGTACTAAACAACCCAAAGACAAACACATCTGGCCTGTGATTGGCTGTGTCCCATTGCAGATTGTCTTCTGCAGATGCAGTTGGATATGGGATATTTCTGGTTTTCTGTCCTGTCCGAGATTAATCTTTTATGTTTGTTTGTTTTTTTTTTGTTTTTGTTTTTTTGGTGATGTGTTTGTACCTGAACATTTCTACAAAGTGAATTTCTTCATAAGCAGAAATGTCAAGGTCAACGTATTAATCCTAAGGAGACCATGAAGTCTTTGTGACGAGAGGGTAAAGGTCCTAATGACATAATGACTCGTTCTCTGAGTCTGATACAGCAATAAAAAAAGGGGGGCTGGCTGAGAGGTTGAGCCTCTAGACCCTGGACACAGCCTTTTTTACTAGAGTCTGATACAGCAATAAAAAAAGGGGTGGGGGTGGCTGAGAGGTTGAACCTCTTGACCCTGGACACAGCCTTTTTTACTGCTCTCCAACAGGTCCAGATACTCAGCAAGAAGGTGGATGTGAGTAGGGTGACGTCAAAGTGTGGATCCAAGGCTAACATCAAGCACAAGCCTGGTAATGAAACGTTTGAAAGCCTCCTATTAATGTCTCTGGTTTTTTTTTTTTTCATAACATTTTAATTATTGCTTGAGCTTCTATGTTTAAGGAGTTTTAAAAAAAACATCGTTTCCCGCAGGTGGCGGTGATGTGAAGATCGAATCTCACAAACTGAAGTTTAAGGAAAAGGCTCAGTCCAAAGTTTCCTCCTTGGACAATGTGAGCCATTCACCTGGTGGCGGGAATGTCAAAGTAAGTACACTGAAATAGATCTAAAAAAAAAAAAAAAAAGCAGTCAACAAAATTCTTTTTTTAAAAAAAAAAAAAAAAAAAAGCAGTTAACAAAATTCTTTTTTTTTTGTTGTTTTCGAAACCTAGAGATGGCAGAAGTCCTGAAATTTTCTTTCTCACTCTTAAAGGGGAAGAAGGAGACATGCATGGTTTTCATATATTTTGTTCAATTACTGTAACTGATTGCGGTAATGTCACCGTTCCTCTCAGCCAACAGCGGTCCATTTGTGTTTCATAGTCACCAGTTTCACTCACCTGCTTCTCACCTCACAATTTAGTTGCATAATTTCCATTCATTAAATATATGTACTGCCATTTATGCTGTTTTTTTTATTTTTATTTTTTTTTTTTTTTAATTCCATTGATTCAATCTGGCTCCAGATCTTTTAAGACTTTGACAGTGTTTGACTCCAGAGTCTTGACTCGTAACTCGATGTTTCCTCGTATCAGGTGGAAAATCTCGGAAAAAAAAAACTCATATTTTGGGTCGCTCGTATCTCGAGGCTCCACTGTAAAAAAAAAAAAAAAAAAAAAATCCAAATACAGTCTATACGATTTGGACCCAGGTTGTTTCATCCCCATCCTCGACAACTGACATGGCCTGCTGTGTGTTTTTAGGCTGAGGGGGGCCAGGAGGCAACAGAGGGGAACGGGACCCCCCTGAGTGGAACCGAGGTCCCAGCATCAGGCTGCGAGCCATGTCAGACTGGGGGCCCCGCTGCGCAAGAGAATGGGCTGAAGGAAGGGGCTCCTTTTGGTAGTGTTGACCTTGGGGAGCCCCGGGGTCTAGAGTCAAGCATCCCGGAGACAAGTAAGTTAACATTTGTGCCAGACTGATGTCGGAGTAAGTTTTGGTTCCCAGATGGTGATGCCCAGAGGTGAACCCACAACAATGGTGACAATGACAACGCTTGGCTGGAGGCATCACATCATTTTAACCGTACCGTCATGTTTGTGGCACATTTGTATCCGTTTGTTTTAGAGGTTGACTGATGCAGGGGGTTTTTTTTTGGGTTAATCCCTCTCTGTAAAAATTAAGTCAGATTTTGGCTCACATAGGATGTAGTTTTATTTTGAAATTCATTTTGCTGTATATTTTTTCTCGCTGTGTTCGACTGTGGTCCGATACCCAATGACCTATGGATGGAGATTGGGGATCCTGAATTAACATCTATGCAATCTGTCTATGTGCTTTTATTGAAACAATATGGTAATAAATGGACAAAATATCACAGACCTCAAAAAAAAAACAAAAACACAAAAACGAGGCTTTAATCTGACCAAAGGTTACGACTGATTGGTCAAACTCACCGGCAAACCACTGCTCAGTCGACCTCTGACGTGTTAGCATGTCTTCATCCTGTCATGTTGTCGTGCAGTTCTTGATCACACCATCACCTTCTGACTTCTTATTTTGCAGGCATCTAATTCTGCTATCCCTTTGCCCTCTTCATCTCAACCCCCACAACATCGCCTCTACCCACCCTCACCCCCCCCCCCTTTCCTGATTTTATATCTTAT